GCAGGTTTTTTCACGACAGTGTTGAACATACTCATGAGAAGTATACTTACTACCGAAATATACTATAATATGTCATAGCATTATGTTAATATATGGCATAACCATGAGTTTTATATCTCTAAAAGACATCGAATAACTCGGACAACAGGATAGTACAATAAAACAATTTACATAGCCCAGATAGTTATTGCATCATTTCCTTTGGGCACACTTGTGAATGCTGCTTTTAGTCCAGAATGATTTAATTCATTAATTACAGTATATTTGATCTGCAAGTGGAATGCAAACCAAATTATTATATTGGCATTGCACTGGTATGTGAGACGTAAATAGGACCAGCAGTCTACAGCTCTGTTCTGGTAAATTCGTTAACTGAACCAGTTGTTGACTTAATTAGCTTAACAGCTACAGTAAATGTTCATGACAGATCAAATGGACCCATAACTTTTGCAAAATGCTTCTTTCATGTTCTTAGCTAGGATTAATATGCTCTTTAGTCACTGACTTGATGTCATAATCTCCAGGACTAGGGCTGTAGATCACTGTTTTGTTGGTAAATAATGTGTTGAGTATCACTTCATTTATTGTCATAAACTATTGTATATTAATGCTATTTATTCTACAGTACAAAAAAAATACTGTAATATATACTGTACATTTATTTCAACAATTTAACATACATTATTTTCTTTATCCTACAAGGCTGCAACACACATTCAACTGATATTTTCTTATTCTGATAGAAGTTCTGTGTTAGCCTCTGGGTACACATATTTCATTTTCTATAACAGTTACAGTTAAGGTATGCAGTATATATATTACATAAATACTCCTATTGACATTTTAAGATTGCATTATATTTCAGATCCAAGACCTACCTAACCTCTTGATATTTAAGATTCTCCACCTTCATGGTTTTTCCATGAAATGCCAAGTTAGATGACATTGTTGGAAAAAAATAACAGTTTTAAAAGTTGATTTTAGTAAATAAACCTTATATATATGTTCTAATGCAAGCATAAAAATGTCATTATATTAATTATTTGAAATATCATTTTTTTTAAATCCCAGTGACAACTGCACAATAAAAGAATAGTAGTACTGACCTTAGGAAAAATGGACAACAATTATTTGGTCATAGCACTGAAAGCAGTTTAACAATATAAATGCACACACAGAGGTGTCCCAACAATGCTTAGTTTGAGAAAGAAGGTGTACCATTATGCTTAATATATTCGATAAACTGTGCTACAAAATGTGCCTTATCTCAGTGTGTTTTCGAGTTCAAAGGCAATCTGGCCTGACGCACTGGCCAACCGTGTCCCCAAAACCCTCAAGCTTTGTTAGAACAGACCTCAAAAATTGAGCTGTTGTGCTAACTTTCTCCAAATTTTGTGTAAAATGAAAACGTTCAGGCTTCCAAAGACATCAATGAGAGAAGTGAATTAATGTTGTAAGGGATAATTTGAAAAATAAACTTAATGTGCATGGGATCAAAGGTCTGTGTCTTTGTCTTAGGTTATACTCATGATTTAATAAACACCTGTCACGTGCACTGCAGCAAACAAATATATGTGGGCCACTGAAACTAACAGAAAGTGAAGTGATTTCTTTTAAGTGCTACATTTTCTATTGAACATACAGTACAGTATATAATAGAAGACATTTAAATTTATAATGAAACAAGAATATTACAGTACATCGTATTCATACAGTCAATAACAACGTGCAAAAATTAATTTCATACTTTGACAGAAGGGCATTCGACATATTTGAAAATGGCTTTACCGAAAACCATTACTTGGTGGTGAGCGTAGAATAAATGTACAGTTTAATTCTCGAGCGCTGAAAAATAAACTGGAAATTCTACACTCCAAAAGTAACAAACGTGGTTGCTTGTGCCAGAGTACAAACCTGTAACTCAAAGTCACAGGGATTCAATGAAGAAGGAGCAACTACCAAAAAGATCGCAAATTGGCTTGGTTTATTCTGTGCAGATTGTAATCGAAAAGCGCCGTAAAACTTAAACTACTGCAGCTGACTCTAGGAGTGGAAGACAAAGTCGGTATCCAGCCTGTATCTGGAAACTCCTTTATCCCAGTACAGGTGGTGGCAATCATAAGGCTCAAGGTAGGACTAAGAACACATTAACCCTCCTCACAGGAGCATTTAGAGTAGCCAATCAAGCCTACTCAGCATGGTACTTTGCAGAAAACCCATGCTGATGTAAGGAGGGCAGGTGAAAAAACACACAAGATACTTGTAATTTAATGTTTTACAGTATTACATCTTGGGATCTAAGGCATGAGGCAACAGTACTAAATGTCAGGCCACAGTGCTGCCCTCCCAAAAAAGTACTGTTTCTGAAAATCTGAGAAGCTGCTTCAAGCTGCCCGGCGAAAACCTTAGATGAAGGCAAAAGATTTTAATGCGAGACCTGAGAGAGGTGGACCACAAATATTCAATGATACTTTAAGAGGGTTGAATCTTGGTTTTTTGGCAGGTCCTCTTCTTAAAAGCAATATACATGAAAGGAAGCTTTTCATATTTTACACTGAATTATTGAAGGTGCCCTATGATTTTTTCGGTTACTTTCTACCTTCTTATTATAGAATTATATTATACTTATGGGAATAAATGCTACAAAATATCAAGACATTGTGCACTTTCATCCATTGCATTGTGTACATTTATTGGATGGAACATAATATTTTCTACAAAGTTTACAAAGGATATTTTGCAAGAAAATAATCCTTTCTGCAGTTAAGGATCTTAGTCCTCAGCCTTCAGTCCAAAGTCAAATGTTGCTGCTTAAAGGCTATTGAGAGCAAAACTAAAATGAACTCCAGCACTGTATATGTTGAAGAATTAAGCATATGGTTTAAAAAAATAGAATAAAACTATAAACGAAGCAAAAGATTAACAGAAAACGTTGAAATAGGTGTGCTCACTTTGTCAAAGTATGCAATTGTTTCTGCGTGCTATTTTTCATTTTATGCATGTGGTATAATATTGATTTAGTGTAGATCTGAGTATACACTTCTTTAATTCATCTTTCAATACCATAAATGGATTTTTAAATAACATTTATTGCATGTTTTACTTTACATATACTTTTTTCTCCCAACTGTAAATATACTGTACATACATGCTGGTGTTTACAATTATGATGACATCTGTTAATCTTACTAAGAAAATTTTACATAAACCATTGACTTTATGCCAAAGGTAATTTTTCAAGTTCTAAAGAAACATTTAACATTGATATTGTCTTACTGGCACATGCTACGCTCATCACATTCATGAAGTTTCTGTTCGTTGTAATGCAGAATATATTAACCTTTCCATTAATAGGTTACAAACAAATTAGTGAAGTGCGAGAGCCATGTGGAAATTTGTAACAAGAAAAACTAGCAGCCCACTTATTTTAAGCAGAATGCCAGCAAGAGGATACAGGGGGAGTAAATGATATACAACAGCTGCAAGGAAGTACTGTAAATAAGATCATTGCTTCTCCATATTTACACTTGATGAGGAAAAGCAGTCTGCTTCAGAGGGTAAATGACAAGTCAAACTTCTGCATAATTGAGTCCCAGTCAATGGGTACATTGAGCAAAGCAAACACAAATGAAACAGAAAGAGTAAAACAACAGAATGAAGAAACAGAGGGATTGCTGGTATCTCTGGGGCTAACCATTTCTGAATCATCGCTCATTAACATTTCATTAAGCTACCTTCTATCCAAAACCAGAAAAACAAATCTCAAAATGCAAGAAGAATGGATGAGAAGGACTTCAAACTTCTGTTTAGAAAATGAATACCAAAATACCTGTAAATATATGTACTCAGTCATTGACAGACTAAACCAAAAATACTAAGCATAGCAGATGTTAAAATTGGTGCACTGACCTTACTGTAACAAGCGTACATTTGATCTTGGAGTTTATTTTTCCTGAATGGTTAAAACACAAAATGGGAGAGGACAAATGTGTTGTAAAACAAAAGCTAGACACATCCTCCATTGTATTTCCTTGTATGTCTTTTCCAGTGAATCAATAAGCTTTCAAACAAAATGATTTGTTTTCACACCAATAAAAAACTTATAATGATTCAGTTTTATTTCAATAAGAAAAAAAATCAACTGAATAAATGAGCAGAGGCTCTATAATAGATAAGCTGGTCATGAAGGTACAGCTAGTTTTCCGAATGATAAAAGGTACTTTAAGAGATTTATTAGTTCAACCAGACACATTTTAGTTAGATCCCTAAAAAATTCAAGAAAACAAGTGCCACCAGATTCTAACATCAGTATGATAAGATAGAATGACAATTATTTCCGAGTTGGTGGATATACATAGGGTCCTGTTTTTATTTATTCACGTCTTAAAGACCTGAAGGTGAAGCCGCATGTTCCAGCTTAGTAGATATGGAAACAGTATGGATGTGTATATTAATTTCTCAGTGGTAGACACCTTGCCCCATTCATGAACTGCCCAGAATTGCTTTACTGTGTTGTGCATGTACAGTACCTTTGATTGTGCATACAGTATATGTATGAGTGTATTGTGGTGCCACAGGGATATAGTCACCACCCGTTCCATGCTCAAAGTGGTCCACCCCCTGTTGCATCACAGTATTTATTATCACATACATATAGAATACACAATGACCTGCCACAAGCATCTAGACACAGGATGGGCAGACCAACTTCATTATGTACTTCATATATTACCGCATATTAATGAACATAATTTTTAGGGAGTATTTAGTTTCATAAGCCATTTTCAGGTGTTTTCGTATGTGCCTAATTATCACTAATTACTGTACCATTATTGTTTATCCTTAAAAATAATCAAATATATTTTTACCATTTTTTGGATTTCTTTGCAATAAACATATGTTGCTTTCTTTGCAATCTTTACATCTCAACTCACAGAGGAGAATGTCAAGGGCAGATAATCTCCTCTGATCCATCTTTTCGTTGAGTTATTTGTCTTTTGAAAATGCTGCCAGCTTTACACGTCTCGAGAGGTGTGCTGGTGTCAGCTGGAGAAGTGGCACACCTCTTCCCGATGAGACTGCAAGCCTGCCAGCACCTGTGAAGGCTCGAAGGCTGAGAGCCCAGGCTGACTAAATGCAACCCCCTGCTCAGCATCACCCTGATAACTGTGCACTTCTGCCTGGGAAATCTGTGTCACAGTTAACTCAGACTCATGATGGTTAGATCACAGAGCTTAACCTGCACTCAGAGCACGTTGCCCTTACTTACCCTTAGCTACGGTACTTTAGATACTTGGGATCCCTGCAATCAAAATATTTACTGTAATTAGTTGTCTGTCAGTAGATCAAATACAATCCATTCGCTGTCAGTGCAGAATTACTGGAAACGTACTGTACAGTACCCACTTAATGTCCTTCTTCAAGTGTGCCTGTGTTTTAAGGAAATCTCTAAAAGGAGAAGTTGGATACAAAACCTGAAATTTGATCAAATGGACAGTGGAGTTCTGGAGATTCTTTACATTATTTGCTCTATAGTTAATTGTAGTTAATTGCAAAGAACACTGTGTGTATAACAGTACAGAGTCCCAACTTCAAATGCATTTTAAAATGTTATAGCTTCAGTGGCCATGTGTACACACACTATTTGTGGGGAATTAACATTCCCACAATTGCAGTGAAAGTGACTGGAAATGTTGTTGCATAATATTGTGTCTTCAAGAATACAGCAAATACTCAGTAGCAATCTGGAATGCTTAATATAAATATTCTAAGGAAAAGGAAGAAAACCAGGGGGAAAGGCAACATATGAAAGACTCATATTCTGTACTTAGAAGTCGCCTGCAGTTGCATCAAGTTGATGTTGAAGGGGTTCATACTGTGAAAAATTTTTAATGCAAAAGAAATATTCTGTTGTCCAATCATGTCAAGTGTCATGCGTTTTTCCCTGAAGTTTGATCATCGAAGTCCCATGGACAAACTTCTGCTATTCTGTTTTTACTAGCAGAACCCTGTTCTGAATATTCATCTTGTTTTTTTGCACAGGTATTTAAGTCTACTTCCTTGCTTTCAGACATACCCTCAAAATCCCATGGGCAAATTTCAGCTTGCTTGCTCTTTTCTGCTCCCAGTTTGTTCACTGTGGCCTTCCTTTTATCTCCAATTGATGCAACTTGACTTTGACTGCTTTCAACTTCCCAGGCACAGACCTCTGCCATTTTTGAGCGGTTAACAGGTTTCTCTGCAGCTTTGTTGGAACTGCTCTTTTCTCTGCCCTTTGATTTACCTTTTTCAGCATTCTTGTCTTTTGTCTTTTCCTTGTCTCTTTCCAATCCTATAACTTCTTTCATTTTTATGGAATATAACCCTTTCTTCTTTGAAGGGGAATCCTTTGCTTTTGAAAGGGGAGTTACGTTAGAAGCCTTTTCCGAATGTGGGGACTCTGGAGCATCGTAGTCCCAAGGGCAGACTTCTCTGGACAAAGGTTGTTGTACATTGCAGCTGGATTTCGAAGAGTCTGAAAGCAACCCCTTTACTTTGACATCGGTGGGTGCTGAACTCTTATTCTGCCCTCCGTGTTTCATCTTGTGTGGCTCAGTAGGTTGTGCGTTCGTCCCTTGGGATGGCAGCTCTTCAAAATCCCAAGGACAAATCTCAGCCTTCTGGCTGTTATTAGATTTCTCGTTTGTAAAATGAGGTGATAGAGACGGAATGTTTGCTTGTGTTGTCCCCTCTGTCGTTTCCTGACACTCTTCAACCTCCCATGGGCATATTTCTGACTTGTCAACTTTCTTCTCATCGGAATGTCTGCTGTTTGAAGGCAAATTGTCTGCAGTTTTCTGCTTGTGCTGCAGTTTTCCTTTGGTGCTTGATCCGTGAACTGAGGTGGTCTCCACAGGTGCAATGGACACGTGTTTTTGGACTTTATTTTCGGATGGAGTAGTAGGAACATCTTGAACTTCCCAAGGGCATATTTCAGAAATGTCACACTGATCTTTTGATCCCATCTTTCCTGGATCAGAGCATAAAGAGGGCTGACTGCCACCCCCTTGGTGTTTCATGATTCCAGGTTTGCCCGACTTTTTGTACTCCTCAGACTGATTACCCATGTTTTTCTGGATGCACTCAGATTTCTCACTCTCCCCTGATTGTGTCTTGCACCAGTCTTTTCCCTTATGTTGGCTTTTTTGATGTTTATTGCTTAACTCAATGCTATGAGTTTTGCCTGTGAGACCCAAGGTTTTCTCCTTGGCACTGGCAATAACACTGAGGGATTTCTGTAGCATGGATGTCCTGGGGTGGAGTGGTTTTTTATCAGCAGTCAAGTTGTGCGCACTAGCAGACTTACATACCAGAGGGACAGATTCCGCAGATTCAGCTTCTGCCCTGTCTGGGGTCTTTTTCACAAGCTTCTTGCTCATCAGGGCATCTAAAATGGAGTTTTCGGTATTGGAAACTTCCATCTTTTCAGTGGCGGAACTGCTAGACTCTTCACTTTGATCCCTCACATGGTCGTAGCTGCTGTGGGACTTTTTAATAGAGAACATTTTGTGTTTTAAAGACTCCTCCTTGGGTTTGGAGCTGGCATGGCCAGGGTCAAAAGGATTTTTCCTCAAGGTGCAAATGCTGTTCCTCGCGCTTGTGTGATCCACAAGGTCCTTGTCCTCTTTACTGCATTGCCTGCTCACACTCTCGGGAATTTCTGTGATGCGCCTCATAATGGAGCGCCCCAAACCTTTCTTAGAGCTTCGTTTTTTCTGCAGATGTGGGTTATTAGCAAGCATCTTCTTCCTCTTGTAGATCTCAAGCTGGGCGTACAGTTTCTTCAGTTCCTCCTGTGTGATTTGAAACACAAAAGGCAGGGAATAATTGTAAAAGACGTTTTCCTCTTCATTGTTTCGAAAGAGAGCAGAGTAACAAATACATACAGTATAACCAGTTTTGTTGAAAAGGCACACTTTCAATAGCACATAGAACATGCAGTAAACTAATCAAACATGCATGGCGACAGCCTTAACAAGGTACTGTAGCATGCTCTCGACATAAATAACAGACAAAACTACTATTGTCAATGACAGTTTGAATAATGAAACGGATCGTGTTTTATTGTTAGCGCTGAAAACAGACTCTGTACACAAAGAGATTTTTGCTCTCCATAAAAGTAACACAGTGTTACACACAGTCACATCAAAAGTTTGGCAGCTGCTTTTGGCAAAGTTTATTAGTAGGTCCTGTCTATCTGTTTTTGATCAACAGGTACTGCCAAAGCGGAGTTGTCCTATTCCGGTTTGGTATGAGAGACTTCTTCAGCTCTAACAAATAATAAAACCTCTGCTCACATTGGTACGTTTTTCCCAAAGACTGTCGCATGACCTTACACCACAGCCATTACTAGAACTGAGCTGGCCCGTTTCGTCTGGCGTCTGCAATAAAAAACCAAACTGGCATTGCTCAGTGTCTTTTATATGATGGCCAACAGTCATGTAATTTCATAGCAAACGTGAGAGTTACAAAGCAAAGAATTGATTTACCAGAATGTCATCAGGATCCAAGCTGTGCTCACTCCAGGCAGATGTGATGCTGCTATTCAAGTAGGAGCCAGACCTGCCTAAATCAAGTTCATCTTCATATGCTTCTGTAGCAATGTCATCCCTTGGGTTGGTTCCCGCAAAAAGAAACTGTAAAATACCAACCGTAACACTAGTACTGGGAAATACAATGTACAAAAGCATTGCCCTCTTCAGAGTTACTTTTTACATAAATCTTGAGTTTTTTAATTAAGTAAAGTATCTAGATCAAAAGATAAGACATTTGTAAAAGTCAGCCTAAAATGGTTAAGGACAGTAAATACGTTTTTTATAGGTTCTATTATTCATTTCATCCAGTGTAGCTTTCTGTCTAGGGCGCAGCAGAATATCAGTGAAAGCCCAGATAAAAAAAGGTGTTAAAGTGACAGTACCTTGGGAATAAGGAGAAGGCCGAGAGTCACGGTTACTGTCAAGTGTGCATGCGCAAAGAACAGCATGAGCATCCACTCTGGGTAAAGGTTAGGAGCCAAAGTGAACCTGGCAACACGAATAACAACACACAAACCGGTTCGTTTATAAAGCAGAAAAACACCAGAGCATCTGTTTAAACCTGTCTATAATTCTGCAGATTCTGTCTTAAGAAATGTTGTTGCGTTAGTAAACATTGCCAATTAGAGAGCTCAAACACGACCCCAAGTACATCTGTGAATTATACGCCACTGTAAAATACAAAACATGAAGGGGACTATACGTTTCCAAGCGGGATACTTATAGTACTTGACTCAGGGAATTTTCTATTCAGTTTAATATCCGAGATATGCTTTTATCATGTAAGCAAACAAAATTAGCAAAACATGAGCTACCTGTACATGTAAATGATCCTTGTTTCAAAGTAAGGAAATTGGTGTCTCTCTGATGATTCGATAAGAAATGCCACTGAATATCATTCCAGCCATTTTCTAATCCCTTTATCCAGTCTTGGGTCACGGCGGAGCCGGAGCCTATCCCAGCAAGCAAAGGGCACAAGGCAGCATACAGCCTGGAATGCCAATTCATCTCAGGGCACATACAGACGCACGTTTTCCAAGTAGCCACCTAACCTACCAGGTATGTCTTTGGACTGTTTGAGGAAACAGCAAACAGAGCAAGAACATACCAACACCTCACATCCCAGGAATCAAACCCAGGGCCCCAGTGCTGCAAGGCAGCAATGCCAGTTAGCCACTGTGCCACTCGCCAATTAATATGGAATAAAAAATTGCAATCATAACTATAAGAATGTACAGTAACCCCACAAAAAGCCTTAAGGCTACAAAACAATATCTGCAAAATATATAAAGGAATGTATTAGTTGGTATGTTACTATAAACTTATAATAATTTAATTGCACTGATATTACAGAGAGCCATTTACAAAATATGCATTACTTTATTACTTTAAGGTACCCTTAAAAGTTTGTATAAGCTAACAAATGTTAAATTAGAAAAACTAATTTTAAAAATCTCCAGGTTTTGTTGACAAGAATTGTAGACGTAATGCAATATTATTTTATTCCTTTTTGAATGATATATCTGTCTAAGTACAGTACATTCAAATTATTTTTCTATTTAGTTTATTTCAAAAAGGATATCAAACATAGCACGTGATAGCACATCTCCTTAAGGAAAAGCATCTCTTCATGTCTGTCTACGGACCAATCCATTTGATTTATTTTTTAAATGTATCTATGGTGTAGATCTTTCAGGAACAGCATATTTTATTGTATTAATAATGTAAATATGTTATTTGTATTTTCCAAAATCAGAAAAAAGTAAGAAATAATTTAAAAATAAGTACTTTAATTAAACAAAGATGCATTACATATTACAATAAGAAGCGTACAGTGTCTCAAAAGGATTATGAATGGAATCAAAATTATTTTGAATTAGAGTCTTATTCTAATTTTGTTATAGTTGCATCCAAGCCAAGTTTGGATGGATAATAAAATTCTTATTTCTTTCTGGGTTTTAAAAAAAACGTAGATATCTTTCAAGGTTCATCAAAGCTTTTGTTTGCGGTTAGCTGGGCTCTGTTGAACCTGTATACCGATATTTTACAGAGATGGTTACTAATATTGTAAGGCAATATCTTATTTTAATTATTTTAGTGTCTTACTTTAATTGTGACATTCAATTGAAGACGCCTGTACAAACATTAAAATATCATGCTAACAACTTGTTCTCAGTGCTATTAATGTTAGAAAGAGCCCAGAAATAATGAATTGCGTAGCAGCAATAAATATTAAAGAAGTAAAAGAGAAAATTCTGCCCTGTCTGAGGGAATTTTACTAAGCCATAACTCAAATGAAAGGTAAGCCTTTTGACTGATGAATTCGGACAATTCAAAATAATTAAAGATCACAGGCTGTTTTGAATAAATGTTTTGCAGTCCGGCTACAGAAATCTATTTGGTGAGCAATGACTTTACTTTTGTTGCTTAATCACAAAATGACCTGCACCCCTTGGTTAACTTCATAACAGCTGCAATGCTCAACACTGCAACTTCAGTAAAAAGAAGAAGGAAGTTCTACAGAAACAATGAGGGTGGGCAGTAGCCTGAATTTTAAAGTATCTGTTAAATTGGTGGCTTCAGAAATTTTCATGTTTTAATGGCTTTTTTTTCCAAAATATTTGTGCAGTGCATTTATACAATAGAATCTATACTGTACTTCTAATACTGGGGAAACAAAACATTTACTCAATGGTTTCATGCATCATTAATCCTTATTTGCGAGGACAAGATCAGCTGCGTCCTTCAATATTAATCGTATGTGTTCTTTGCTGGGATGAAATTGATTACAAGGATCATAAACCTCTGCATAAGCGGAGCGGTGGCTCTGTGGCTAAGTGGCTGTGGCTGGAAGGTTGCAGGTTCAAATCCTGCAGCTGGCAGAGGAATCCTACTCCGTTGGGCCCCTGAGCAAGGCCCTCAACCCCAACTGCTACAGGGGCCCTGTACAATAGCTGACCCTGTGCTCTGACCCCAAGATTTTCTCCCTGTCTGTGTCTCATGGAGAGCAAGCTGGGGATGTGAAAAGATGAATTCCTAATGCAAGAAATTGTATAGGGCTGTTAATAAGATGTATAATGTGTAGTTGTATAGTGACAACTTCACATACAAATTCCCATGCTCCTGCTCCACTTCAAAACCTTTCTGTTTTCTTCACTATTCTGGTGATTATTTTCAAGCATCTACTGTATAAATCCAAAACACTATACTCAAGATCTGTCTTTCTTCTGCCCTGCATTGTGGATGCTATACAGAAAGTGATGCCAGTCAGTCAGTAGTGACTCTTCTCAAAACATGGTTCTGAAGGTGGACGTATTTGTTTTTAAACACAACGGTTTTCAGAATTAGCTCAATATATGACATCGAACAACTATTTCAATGATAGTGATTGTGAGGTTGGTGTTGCAATAAACCCTTGAGTATTTTGAGGCACAAATGGCTTTTCTCTATTTACATGCACATAACCCGATTTTAGCCTGTTCTGCATTTCACAATTAGCTCATTGTGCAATATGTTCCATAAACTTTTCTTCCCCAACTTTCCTTCAGATGAAACACGACTGTGGTCTACCATCCTGTGATGCAGAGTGTGAAGCTTTCACTGTTGTAAAATAAGACAGCAATAGGTTTGTTGCCTTGCAGTGCACTGATGTCCAGTTCTAGAGGAGAGCTGTGGCACAGCTTTAGGCCTTCTGCTAAAGCATGCTGTGACCTTCACCCCAATGAGCAGTGTTCTGGTAACAGATGGATAGGTACAGTATGTATGTTGTTTTTGTACTCAGCTTGTCTCGAAAGAAACTGTATGATGTGAAGCTGCAAATTCATTACAACGGCTCAGATGTCTATTATAGTTTATTCTCCTTTAAAAAAGAAGGTAAATTCAGTGTGTAGATACAGATAAAATGACTAAACAAACTACTCTGTTTTTGGATTATCACTAACATTTTGCTATAGTTAACAGTTAAATACATCAAGAGCTATAACCTTCAGTTCTTGATTTACATTCTATTGAATTTTGAGGATGAAACATACTTTTTGTGGAAAGACTAATGCATCACTTAATGATCAAATCGACTGTATCTTCTATTGCAGATATTAAGCCAAGAGATAATAAGACAAAGGCAACAGTGACATCTTCAAAAACGAATAGTGAAAGCAAGCAGTGAAATTGACTGTAATGGAGAAGAGCAATGAGCTGAGCAGGGTAACATATACAATTGTGTGATATTTAATTTATGCTTTTAGTTCGGTTCCTGGCAATACCTTCTTTTATGTGCACAATCAGATATTGCAGTACTGCACTGACCAGACTCTGTACACAGCTCCCTGATTGTGCAATCGTTATTTCCCTTTTCCATTTAGTTTTATTGTCTTGCTAGTTTCACAATCATTGTGTTGTTTTGTGACTCGCAATTATTATCTCTGCTTAATGGGGGTGTTTAGCCACAGCATTAAAACTTTTTTTCATTAAAATAAGATTTCTGGGAGCACTTTGTTCAATAATGATGCATGGTTCTGTGTCTGTTGCACCGCTGTCTGCATACAGTACAGTAGATTGCAATGTATAAGGTGAAGCTTATGTATTTTCCCTCAAAAGTTTCTAATACACTGCTTTGAAAAGGAGAAGGATTAACATAGAATGGCACAGCCAATATAACATGAGCCACTGTGAATCATGCTGAACATTTAAGTAAATTATTTGGTATGAGGGGCTGATACATTATGTTTTCTGAACAGGTTAGTCTATTAATTACTAGCTGTTTGAGTCTATTAATTACAAGCTGATTGGGTGGGATTGGGACTTAACTAGAAGAATAAGTACACTGTAATTTTCTTAGACTTTGCTCCTAGAAAAAAATCTAGATGAAATTAACTGGTCCTTAAGTTAAGGAGTATCTGGATACAATTTCTAAGTTTACAGACTCAAAATTATGAGTAAACACTTAAATTAACATCTAACTTATTTGTGTTACAGGTACAGGTATACACTGTAGGTAAATATACTGTAGTTCATGCCAATACCCAGACTTCATTCAAGAAATAACTATTCGAGATCATTGAATCGTTTTCCTGCTAACTGCCAAACAAGCTGGAGAGATGAATGGCCTGTTGTCATTTGTAACCTTTCTTAGGTTCTTATGATGAACACAAGCAGTATACAGATATATCAAGGCTTGTTGTACTTATTTGTAATAGCCACTAAATAGACTCCTTGATATAATGCACACCTATGTAAAGAATCTCAGAATATTTACTGTACGTTTCGTGTTATAGTTAAAGTAAAGTTGAGCTGGGAACAATTTAAAATCGCAGAGCTGTTGAAGTATGGATGCAGGAGTCAAACCTATGTGGTGAGTAACCTCACCATAACCAGTTTCCAGTTTGTGTAGTTTCTGCCAGGAAATGGGTTTATACAGGTTTAATGAACAACAATCTGTGCAAGAACCGACCTTGTGACTTTTTCACCACCTTTGACATAAGCCACAGATTTCCACTGCTGAGTGCTGGGGGGCACATTTTAATTACATAATCTAATGGTAAAAGAGGAAGAGATGTCTGAAACCATGCATCAGTTGTCAGCACCCTCACTGAAACAAGTCTAAATTCATGGTTTATTTAATACAGATCCCAGATAAAATGGAAGCCAAATTGTCTTTCACCAAAACATGAATGATTGTATATACTGTATATATTTGATATGAACGATCTGTATACAGTATGTGCACTCAACTGAATTAGTCATTTATTTGCAGAGCAATTAAGGCATCCAAGCTAGTGTTGTTCCTGTGAGGCTGAGATAACTGAGGCTGCATGGTAGTGAAAGTTCTGGGGAGCTGCGTTAGCCCAGCGCATGACTGTAAGCATACATTGCTGATTCATCCTCTTCAAAACTCTCCAGGAATACCTGCAGCTTCCAGAATCCCTGTTACACTTAGTTCTGTTTCTGTTTCATTGCTTAAAGTCTTGTCCATTTGCACTGATAAATAAAGGCAGAGCAGAAGCACAGTAATACTCCTGGGGAGTTTGTAACAGATTGAATCCAGAACATTCTCTTCAAGCTCTGACCTCCCATTTGGCATGCTCAAGATAAAAAACAGAAATCTGCAGATTTTTTTAAGGTATACATAGCGGGGGAAAAAAATGTTGTGCAGCATAAAATGGATCTATTTTTCTACTTTACGAAACAAAAAGAAATAGCTATGTATACACCAAGAGGTTTCGTGTTTTTGTCTCTGTTTTTGGCTCAGTTCATTGGTAAAAAAATGTCTGCAGATAGCTTACCTAATGATATGGAATATTGCAGAGATAATGAGTTCATTATGGACTGCAACAGCCATATAGCGTGGCTCATGAAATGCTGAAGGCACAGTCCGCACAGCATAGCAGAGATACACTCCCCACAAGAGGAAAATCAATTCAGCTGTTTCGGGAAACACAAACAGAAAATGGGTTGGCAACCAGTCTACAGTGAAATATATATAATAGATTTATATTAATTTTAATGCAAGGAATTACTAAACAAAAAATCTGATTTCATACAACATAAAAAATCTAACATAAATTCTAAGCATTATAAAGTGACAAGCAAATGTATATTAATATATTATAAGTGCTATGAAATGTATTTACACGTATTCCCTGGCCACTGAATGACTGAGTATAATAATAATAATAATACATTAAGTAAAACACACGTTAAACTAAGAGCAATCATTTGGTACAAGTGTTCCATTGTATATCTGTAGATTTATTATTGCAAGTTATACATTTATAGTCTTGCAACCATCTTAAAACATTTTCCATATAGGAAGATATCGTTTCCTGTTATCTCTACTCCTGTGTATTTTCGAAGATCTTGCATTATAATTGCTGATTAGACAACTTAGGAAGTAAACTGAAGGTGAATATAATATTATCCCTTAAAAAGGCTTCTGCATCACCTTGGCATTTGCATTTCTTCCAGAGTGTAATTTTGCTAATATTTTAGAAGGGACACAGTTGAATAGGTCTGATGCGACAGATGTTGTTTTCCCTGTTTAGGTTAATTGAAAAGAACATAAGTGTTGTGGGTGCCATACTGGGTAGTGCTGGGGCCCTGGGTTAAATTAAGGACCTGGGGTGCTGTCTGCATGGGGTTTGTTCGTTGTCCATGTGTTCATGTGGGTTTCTCCTCCAACCTTCTGGTGGTTTAATTGGTTTCTGGGAAAATTGGCCTTGGTGTGAAAGTGTGAGTGTCTGTATGTACAGTATGTGTGTGTGGGTATGGGTATATCCTGCTCCCCAGCGACTCTGTATTGGATAAAGTGGTTAGAAAATGGATGAATGGATGGATAAAGTTTTCTATAGTGTTTTTAAAGAAAAGTTAACTGAATGCTCAAAGTGTCAAGTGTTTCTTATTTATTGCTTTTCATTGCAACCAAGAGGTCTATGTCAGCCATGCTATAGTTTATTATAACTGCCTGTAAGCATTCTGTTAACATATTAATGATGTGATAAACAGTTATAAAAATCCCAGGCAGGGTAAGGATGGAATTAGGGGAACATTTCAGGTTATAATCAGGATTAGGGTTTTATTACACACGTTCAATGAATCTGAAATATTGATTATTAATTAATCAAGACCTTGTATACATGTATATTCTATAAAGCATTCTACAAATGCCATTCATAACACCTTACCTAAAGTATTTCGTATAATTTTCTAAAATATTTCTTAGGTGCCTTCTCACATGAAGATTTTTGGTCACATATGAGAAAAGAAAAAAACTGAATACATTAAATATTGCTTATACAGGAAGTGGGTTTTGTGGGATAACCAAAGTGTCCTGTTTCACTTTCAGTGTATTCTTATGAGACACGGCCACTGTGTAAGATTGTTAGTGTGGGACTCACATGTCCTGTGAGTTTAGTTTTTCAAGTTTGACCGACAGAAAAAAACAAAAACAGAATGTCTGAGCGTGGCTGACCAGGAGCTCCATGCATCACTGTCATCACTGCCTGCCAGTGATGACTGCCAGGATGTTGTGACTACAGACTCTGAGATCTAAGATCAGACTTTGAAATGCATTCTGTTTATTATATATAAACAGAATTGATAATACTGCATGTATACAGTAATATTGATATGTGCTTGGGCCAGTTTTACATGAGAAGAGTGAGCTGCAAAATATTTCTATATATATTGTATGTGTACGACAGGAAGGAAAAGACTACTTTAAAGCATTGCCTGCTCTGTGTCTTATTAATTTTCTATAACTCTTTTATATCAGTTTTGCTGAAACTATGCAATTCAGTAATTTCCTTATATACAGAAATATACATATACTATACAAATGTACGTGGTTGTTGCAAGATAGTTGGCCACTTCAAATAAATGAATTGTGAGAACCGTGGTCCACAGAGCACAGACAGTACATACTGTACAGATGGCCCACATTCCCAAGGATAATGACAGTACACATCATGTCACACTTATATCATCTGTGTGCACCAGGGGGCACTAACACCACTACTGTACATCACAAGGCACTAATAACATCAGTGTCCACCAGAGGACACAAACAGTGAGCGTAGTGCACAAAATCACCAAAATGGAAAACATTGCTAAAAAAAGACCACAGGGCCTGATATCACCAGCACATCTTCCAGCATTCTGACATCTGTAGAAGACATTGCTGAACACTTGCTCTTCACAAAAAGGAATCGCTCTAGTGCCGTGTTATTTCAGAAGCAATAATGAATGCACTAGAGGCACTGAAGTTAGATACATGGAGTACCACCATAAAGAAAGTAAGGTGTACAGTATGACAGCTTCCTAAACAATTACACGGATCTGGCATAAATCATCCTGCAAACAAAATCAACAGTGGGGCCTGATACCATTCTGCTGTATGAAATGCACAGAATTTGAAGGAGTAGTCTTTTTGATTACCTATATTATTTCAGGCTACTAAACTTCTCCATTACAGTGTGTGACACTCTCATCATCAGATTAAACCAGGGTCATTCCAGTGCAATCAGGTACTTTGATTTTCATTTTTCTTTGAAGTCTGTGTTACACACATGCTGTGCAAGAGCAGGATATGTACACTGTAATCATGCAACACAAATGTCACATTTCAGCCCTGCTCTACCCGGTACTGTACTGTAGCTCTCTTCCTGGGATAACAGGTTTAATCCTATATGTGCTCATTGGTTTTTTTTCCAAGCTAGAAAGAAAGAATTCAACTGTATTTAATTTTAATTAATTATACAAAACATCCATACTGTAGATGCCTGACAGAATAATGAATGCATGGCTGCAAAATACAATTTATTTGATTTTATTTACCTAAATAATTATATTTGTTCCCTCCAAATCTAGTCAGCCTGTATTACTGTACATTCCAAATTCTTCTTCTCACTGCTGCAAGTTAGGTAAGTCTCCAGGGGAGAAGGAAATGGAAACAATAAGCCTGGGACTAGTGCAATGGGAGTAAATATTGGGAATGCTGCTGCTCCCCTGTAGCCACCTGCTCAGACAAATATAAGAACACATAGGCAGGTCTGACACTTGTATAGCACTTTTCTGGACACTCCACTCAAACCACTTTACAGGTAATGGGGATCTAATCCACCACCACCAGTGTGCAGCCCCACCTGGATGATGCTCCAGTCTGCTCACACACACCAGCTCTCAGTGGGGAGGAGAACAGAGTGATGAAGCCAGTTCAGAGAGGGGGATTATTAGGAGGCCATGATTGGTAAGGGCCAATGGGAAATTTTGCAAGGACACTAGGGTAACACCCCTACTCTTTTTGAGAAGCACCCTGGGATTTTTAATAACCACACAGAGTCAGGACCTCGGTTTTACATCTCATTCAGCGTCTTTTTTACAGTATAGTGTCCCCTTCACTGTACTGGGGCATGAAGACCCACACAGACCGCAGGGTTTAGCACCCCCTACTGGCCCCACTAACACCTCTTCCAGCAGCAGCCTTAGCTTTCCCAGGAGTAGCTCTTCCAGGTACTGACCAGGCTCACACCTGCTGAGCTCCAGGGGACTGCATGCTGCAGGCTGATATAGCTGCTGGCATGTTTAAAGATATTTAAATATATTGTTATATTAAATGCTAAATATTGTTAAATATTTTATATCTTACATACTAAATATATTAAAATATTTAGTTAAAAGAGTAGGACTGGAAATCAAGGGATGTAATGTTGAAATTGTACAATGCACTAGTCAGGCCTAATTTTGAATATTGTGTTCAGTTTTGGTCACCACGTTACATAAAAGACATGGCTGCTTTGGAAATAAATCTTGTATATTTCTGGGGCTTAAAGTAACAGTCTACACTGAGAGGTTAAACGAACAGGAACTATAGTCTTGAACAGAGACTAAGAGGGGGACTGATACAAGTATTCACAAGATTCAAGGACAGGAGTCACTTCTTTATACAATGAATTGTGAGAGTATGTAGCAAGCTACCCAGGCTTGTCGTTGAAGGGGATATTTGATACCTTCTTTTAAGAAATTACTGGAAGTGATCAGTAACTATTAACTACCAATTGAGCTAGATGGGTCAAAAGGCCCATTTCCAACTGTCCTTCTGTTCTTATTTTCATGGCTTTGCTATTTGTGTGAGACATACTATAAATCAGTTTAACATATAGACTGATATAGACTGATCAGACTGATATAACATATAGACTGATCAGGCATGTTATGCAGTAAGTGACCTGCAACTACTGTACATTCCAAATTCAGTCTGAAAGTCCCTCTCTACGGAAACATCTGTCACAATAAAACAGTACCCCCCACCTCCTTAATGTGAGAAAGCATACAGATTTTATATGTACAATAGTTAAATGTACAATACATGAATTGAGGTTTGGGTAGTTAAGTGCTGTATCTGTACTACACTCGGATGCTTATCATCAGCTAGGCTGCAGACCATAACTAGACATACTGTACAATTGATGCTTATTTTTATTATCATTATTTCCCCAGAAATCTTAATAGAGAAAATATACTCAACAATGCAATTTTATTTAGAAAAAAAAACACAAAATAAGACTCCTTATCAAGATAGGAAATAACCCCCTCTTCGGATAGTAATCTCAAGGCCCATGTTTCTCAATCATTGCATATAATTAAAGTCTGACTCTCTACATACTGAACAACTGCACTGACACAATCTTCTCCTGTTGTCATCATTCTCACCAGCCCTGATCACGGTGCAGCTAAAACTGTTTGCTTGTCTCAACAGATTCTGCTGCCTCTTCTTGAGGTTTCTCGTATCCCTCTCCTGTTCTGCGTGTCAAGACTAATTGTGCAGCTGTTCCTGTGAACAAGCAGCCGTGCCTATTTAGATGCACGCTTCATTCTTGCAATGAAACGTCTGGAATGTTATCGTGCTTTATTTTGTACGAGACCCGAAACGCTCAGTTCCCAGGCCGTCAGTAGAAGCAGTTTCTGTAATAACAGGTTTTTCCATCAACTCCCAAAACAAAACATAATTCACTATAATACAGAATATTACATGACAGTACTACTTGTGAATTCATTCTATTTGTATTGTTTACCAGGGGTCCACTGTTAAACAAGGGGTTTACCAGTGGACCCACTGGTACCAGGGGTCCACTATAATTACTACTATATGGAGCTGAATGCTTGGCAGTTGGAAAGAGGGAAGAGAACTTGATGAGAAGAACTGAAATGAGGATGTTGAGATGGATTCTGCAGATTTCAATGATGGATAAGATCAGAAATGAAGAAATCCATAGACGATGTAGGGTGGTGGATGTGGTTGAAAAGATGCGAGAGGCGAGGTTACGGTGGTATGGACATATCATGAGGAGGGATGTTGAGGAAGTAACAAAGAGGGTAATGGAATTTGAGATGGAAGGTAACAGAGGAAGAGGCAGGCCTAGAAAGAGATGGATAGATTGTGTGAGAAAAGATATGGAGGTATGTGAAGTGAGTGAGGAAGATGTGCTCGACAGAGACAAGTGGAGAAGAGCAACCAAAGCAGCTGACCCCAGGACAGTCTGGGACTAAGGCTGTGAAAAAGAAGAAGAAGAAGACCAGGGGTCCACTGCTAGGCCTTTCATACATTCAGCAACCTGTTTAGGTAAGTAGTGTAATGTATAAGCACATACTACTTGTATCAATTTTTCTGCTTATATCCTGTTCAGGTGTACACATTTTAAAAATCAGTACTGTGTAATAATAATAATAATAATAATAATAATAATAATAATAATAATAATAATAATAATTCACAACAAAATGTACAGGTGTCAGTGCGCTTATTTAAAGATTATTTATCTATAAGCAGGTGAAAGACATGAACATGCGGAAAACCTCTAATGTGCTGGGAATTTAATTAATACTGTACATCACCTAAACTCATTAATCCCTGACACACTGTTACTTTATTGATTGTTCTAGGATAAGACTTCTGGAGAATGCTTCTGTACTTAAAATTAATTAAGGAAGCTGACATATTTGAACAAACCATACAGTGTCTCCCCTCTGTACTTAGGGGGTATTTGTTATTTGGGGTCCAGCCTGGGAAAAAGAACCGCCTGGTACCGCGGCATCCAGGCTAGACTTCGTTACAAACGGTAAACCCAACCAGCATTTTTTCTTTTTGCTTTTGTTTCTTTTTTACGTTTCTTTATCGGTTTTCCCTAACCTCACACCGATGCCCCTGCCCCCTTTAGACGGGGCGTCGACTATGACGGTGCTCGCTGCGGCTCTTCCCACTCCCGCACTGTTACAGCTGGAAAAATACTTAAAAAAAAACGGAATTCGTGTTAGTTTCCAGCACGGAACCTACCAAGCGCCATCATGTAGTCCCAGCGGTCCAACAGACACATGCTGAACTGCAGGCCATCCGGAGTGTACCCCACATCAATGAGGGAGACGTCCCGGTCCAGGTTCTGGCAGACGGCGGAGGTCCAGGCCGCCAGGAACCAGCAGACGATGAGCAGGATGACGCCCAGCAACCGGAGCACTCTCCAGCTCGTCAGGTACGGGATTCTCTGGGCCGTCCGCGACAGGAACACCTTCAGGACCCTGCAACGTGACCAACAGAGCAGAGCTGCAGCACGCACTTTCTACTGGAGGACGGGGGACGGGGGAAGGGGCCGGGATAACGCGTGCATTGCAAGAAAGAGCTGAGAAAAACAAAAGGGAGAGCTTTATTATTAAAGGTAGAGAAGCCTACGGGTTTCTAAACACTCCTAAGACCTCTGTCATTCATGCAGTGGACATTTTTTAGGATTCGTAACAAGCCCTTTGCCAATAAGTCACCTTGATGAGGCTGTTGTATAATCTTACAAAGTGGAATGAATGTTGGAGATGGTAGAGTTTTGCTGAAGAATAAATATAAGAGTGCCACGAATGTAACTATTGTATACTCAGGATAAATGTTACTTGGGACTAAACCGACAAGATGTCACTACAGTGCTAGAGATGTTCGATGGGATGCCGCATCTGTGTTTTAAGTAGTAGTATATCACACCCTCTCGAACAGAAAATGACCCTTATAACAACTAATAACTGATTAAAATGAAGTTGTTTTGAAAAAGAAAGATAAAGTTGGAATAAAAAAGAAATCTGTTGCAAATCCATGTTGCTAAATGATTTTCTAATCTGTGTTACTGATAATATGGGTAATCTGTCTAACACCCCTTTCTTGAACCAGGGGTTTTACTGGCAAGTTTAAAGAGTCAGGAGTGCATGATGATCCTCCCTTTTTTTGTCATATGTTAATGTGTCCCCAACGTTTGTCCAGTAGAGTAAAAACCGTACGCACACATGGACAGTATGAGTAGGAACAGCGATAGATTGAAAAAAGTTGTAGAAAATTCCATCTCTTCCTATTTTTGTAAATTTGTTTTGCACTCCGTCCTCTCCCCACAGTGTGCTAACCTGAACTGTTTGGGGCCTCGTGAATAATTTAGCCACTTATGTAATGTAACAGAAAGCCCCTAAGAGGCCAAAACCTGCGGCAGTGAATCCAACAATGGGAAACTGATCATCGTTACCGTGCCGCTTAATCAGCCTTTGATCTGAATTTATAGCCTTCACGTACACGCATTAAACTGATAAAGGGTCCGCGGCCTCCTTTAATAATTGATCCTCGCGTGTGTTAACTTTAAACCCGCCCCGTTTCAGTGAAGATCACCCCTGAAGATATTCATCTTGCTCTCCTAATTAAGTATTTCATTAGCTCTTCTTGACATTTCTACCTGACACGAGCCCTCTGGCGGTTTTGTGTCCGTCATACCTACAGAGGCTGCTTCTCATTCTCTCTCATTGCGTCTTTGCAAATGGCCTGACCAACTTCAATCATTTTCCAAAGCCTTTCCTGCCGCCCATTGGCACTGGAGTCTTCTGCTGCACTTCCTACCTCATTTTGTTTGTTTCCTGCCTCAACTTGTCTGATCTGTTCGGGACGAAGTGTAATCAATTATTTCTGTTCCAATCTCAGCGCTCTTGGGTTTTTGCTCTTACTACATTCTCTGTGGGCATTTTTTGGTCATTCACAAACGGATGGCTGAGGATTTTAACTTCCTTAGAGTCTGCAAATGAGGTATTTTACAGGTATAGGGTACTGTACTGTATTTGTAAGTACAGGGTATTTAAATACAGTAGGTCTTTTGCAAATAACTGCAAACTATAATCTCATGGCAAGTAAATGGCAGATGTTCTGTACTTGACCAGTCCAAATACAGTGGTAGGAACAATTTTGTGAGATAGAGAAATAGAAAATGAACATTAAATTCAACCCCATGAGTAAGAATAAAAACCATAATTAATATATTTTTTTTATTTTTCACTGTATTAGTATATTCTAAAGTACGATGTATGATGTAACACAACAATTTACATTTGCTCATTGAGGTACAGTGCCATATTTAATTCTTTAAATATGTAGGGATGTGAACACAGTAAGCTGACTGTTTTTAGAGTCCTGCACTTTAAGGAGACATTTCAAACATAAGGAAGAGGGCGACTTCTTTTTCTTTCAGTCTCCATCGGCTCCCCACACTCTGACGTCCTGACTGCCAGTTCAGGCATTCATTTAACTTGCTTGCAGAGGTGGACTCCAGCCTTCAGAGGCGAAACCCCTTAGAGAGTCTGATGAGCGGACCAACCTGTCCTGAGCTCTCACTGAGTTTTATTTTGGCTGTGTTACTGTTTTATGGCGTGGACTGATTTTATAGCTGGACACTTATGACGTTCACAAAGCCTCCGTTGTACTGAAAGATTTAATTGGCTATTCTGACGGCTGTGGCACCAGTGGGCACATCAGTCTTTTCTGAGCTGTGAAGTCTGTTTTGTTGAAGCGCACACCCTGCACATCACTCTTTTCCCCCTCCCTCTGTGTCTGTCTGTCTGTGTCAGGCTGGGGAACTGCTCAGTAAATAGTAATTGTGGGAATCGAATCCTCAGGGATATCCACAATAGGGGAAATCCAAGGCCAGGGTCTCTAGGCAAGTGAAGATTCAAATAACCAGGCGACAGGATAAGTATAAAGTTCCAAAGACATAATCCAGAAATCCAGGTCAGAATGCAGAGTGAATGCAGAGTGAATGCAGAGTGAATGCAGAGTGAATGCAGAGT